GAGTTGCAATTCAGCAAAGATGATCTCGATTTCTAGCGTCGGACATCTTGGTTGTATTCTAGATCCTGACAGCATATATTAGATTCAGCACGTTTAACTAATATCTTAGCCCGCCAACGCAGAAATTGAAAGCAAAAGCAGGAAACAGATTTATGCAAACAATATGTGGAAACATGTCTGCTGCGCCATCTATTTGTCTATTTATCATATGGTCGACGTTTTCTTGACACGAGGAAAGACATCGAAAACACTCCTTTCAGCAGAGAGTGTGCATGAGAGGAGTTCTCTGGCGCACACGCATGCATGCGTACAGTTATGGTGTGTATTGTGTGTGTGTATTGTGTGTGTTTGTGTGTGTTCTCTCACCCTGTGTTGCCAACCTCTCCGCTCCCTCCCAGCTCTGGCCAGGCACGACCCATCTGTCACATTCCTCCTTCCATCCCTTCTTCCATCCCTCCCCCATCCGCCGCATCCATCCCTCCCTCTGCGTACCCATCTTTCTTTTCCATCCCTCCTGTTTCTCTATCTGTCTCCATCCCTCCATCTCTCTCTGCCTCCCTCAACCTCCACCCGCCCTCCGTCACCCTCACTCTGTTCGTTCTTCTTTCCTCGCTTCTTCCTGCAAGCCAAACTCCTCGTCTCTGATCTCCATCTCTTTCTTATTTTCCTCCTAAGAAGTTCCCAGCCTTACTACTTTCACTGCTTTCCTTCCACCTCTCTCCCTTTCTGATCAAATGTATTTTTATTAAGTTTCTACAGTGCTTAACCAAGGGTTTTACGTTACAACTTAAAGAAGTACATTCACAATATGCTATCATCCAGCAATGTAAAGCAAAGTAATAATATACAAATGAGAATGCACTGATTATATGTTAAAGAGGAAGGACTTAAAAGAATAAAAAGCAATAACAACGACTAAACCAATCCGCCTACATTCACTGCCAGTGAGCCTCACACACACATATTCATCGAACACAGAAATCCCCACTCTGTTTTTTATTGTCTGTGTCAGATCTTGTTAAAGCGATGACAACATGTGGCCACTCCAGCTTGTGTAATAACAACAATTGTCATCATCAAAAGATAACACAATCAAGCCCACAAGCTTCTTTCCATTGTAGCCCCTGCTTCTTGGGGCCAACGTGGGACCCTGCAGGCCCGTGTAGAGCCCTGAGGCCTGGTGTTACTACTCCATGCTGAAACAAACGGATCCAATCTGGGCTAGAGAGACAGGGGTCCTGCCTAGGGAACTGGCACTGTCAATGTGTGTGTGTGTGTGTGTGTGTGTGTGTGTGTGTGTGTGTGTGTGTGTGTGTGTGTGTGTGTGTGTGTGTGTGTGTGTGTGTGTGAGTAGCATCAGGGGTGTAGCCTGGGGTGTACTGGCATGGCTGTGCATTGGATTATTGAAGGCAGCTTGGGACCATCTGTATGGTGGTGGGGAAGAAGTGGAGAAGGAGGAGAGGAGATGAGAAAGAAGAAGAGATGCTGTCTTTCTTTTTGCATCTTTGATTTGTTTCCTTACTGTTCTGCTGTGCAAACAAATCCAACAGAACTGTAATAACCAGACTCAGTTTCATCACCATGTATGTTGTCAGGTCTGCTCCTTTAATACAGGACAAGCTGAGGCTTACACTTCCTTTAAGTAAGGAGCGATATGAAACTGAATTGTATACACATTTCACCAAGAGTCACCTTAAAACCACCCATTAGTTGGTCAAATGTAGCTTTTAATTGTTGTCCTCCCACCATCACGGTTTTGGGCAACCAGAGAAGAGCATATTTGGGTGAGAGGGAAGAATTAAGACATTTTTACAATTTTACAATTACATTTTATAAACTGAAAACAACCTGTTTTAAGGCAAAACACAGATAATTTCAGTTATTTCAATTTGTCTGATAACTATGTCATTCCCATCTGCCTCAGCTGCACTTAAACATACCTGCTAAACATTAGCATGTTAGCAGAAGCCTCCCAGTGACTCTTAATCTCGTTCCTTATAAATTACAACAGCAATCTGAGAAGGGGGAAATCACTAATTGCTGAAACCGCCCATTAGTCATTGATATATGCATCACACGAGGAGGGATTACAAGTAGCCATTGCATCATCTTTAGGGGTCATTAGGCAAACTGGTTGTGAACCAGTGCAGGATCCACCTCCAGTGAGTGGAAGTATCTGAGCTCCACTCATGCACATACACAAAAGAGTCTCAACGTGTCAAACACAACTATGGGCTACAGCATTACTAATCAGTGATCAGTAAACATGATTAGATGTGATACGTGTGAGTCTCTGGGGGAAGTTCTTAGACTGGAAGGTCAGAGGTCATGGTCGGCTACTGAACAGCTTGTGAGAATTCAGCGTTTTTCTTTGTCTCCAGGGATGCGCTGATCTGTCATTTTTCCCTCCTGATTCTGACTCTGGAAAACAATTCAGAATTATTGAAGTGTTCTTACAATTTCCTAACTAGATTGACTAAGAAACAGTGTCTGTTCAACAGCCGTAGCTAGTATATTGTGTTGCTAACTGTCACAATGATATGTATGTGGGCTTTCCCTTGAATGAAGAGTCTCTGCAGTAACACGAGAAATCATCTTGATGACCCATTTTCTTTCCTCTGACATGGAAGCAATTATAGTGAATCAGGACATCAGGGCTGGAGAAAGAAACCTGCGCCATAAAGCTTTCACTCCACTTACTCACAGTAAATACTCACCCTGTGCTTTTGGCCATTTCCCAGCATACATTAAGTGAGAGGTGGGTACAACCATGACAGGTTCCCAGTCCATTCACATTCATTTAAATTCATAAGATGCATGTCTTTGGGCTGTAGGAGAAACCACAGCACAAGAAGATCATGCAAACTAGATTAATGAAGCAATGATCAAACTTTCTCTCCTGATACCTTTCCAATACATTCACTCAGGGTTAATAGCTAGTAAATCAAATACCAGTAGTCTCTTTTCTTCCAATCATTATTGCTTTCTACATTTGATGACTTAAAACCTTAATGATATGAAGATAAATAGCTCAAATCGACAAGATCTCACCAAAGTTTATTGTAGAAATTAAACGAAAACTCTTATGGCGGACAACCACAATGTGCATATATTCATAGTTTAAAGGGCCCATGTCATGCACAGGCAAGGCAGGCAACCGCTTGGGGCCCCAGACCAGTAGGGGGCCCCCGAGGGGCGACACATCTTTAAAATGACATCAGTGTCGTTTTAAAAAGAAAAAAAATGTTATACAAAATTCAGAACAACAAATTATACAAAAATACAATTAAACAGACATCATACATTGCCATTCATGAAATCCAGTTCCTCTACAATAGTGGGGGCCCCATTATTGTAGATGAACTGAATTTGAGTGAGTGAGTGGGGCAATGCGCAACGTTTGCAATGACGTAGAAGCTAGAAATTACAGTTGCCGTTGACCTGTTAGCTTAGCTTAGCTAGCCGGCTGAAAAAACGTAAAAGCTAGTAATTACAGTATTAACACGTCTTCATTAATCTTTTTGGCATTGTTACTGAAATAAACACTGTCTCTGCCATTTCTACATTAACGTTTCACCCGTTGTTTAATGGGACACCAGTAATGGAGTAATTTGGAGGGGGAAATCAGCTAACTTTTTCTGTAGGCTAGTTAACTGATGAAGCTGTGTCCGACTGAGCTAACTGTCAAGCTATGAGTGTTAAATTAGGAAATGTAGATGCAAGACATTTGGACAAGTGTACTCTAAATAAAGTATTGTTAAGTTAGTGTGCTATGTGTTGAGTGTATTTTATTGTATTTTCCTTCTCTGTAGTTTACTCCTAGCAGAGATGGGGTCGTTAATAAAAAAATGTAATGTATTACATATAACATATTACTTTAAAAAAAAAAGTAATATATTACACTACTTCGTTACTCTCTACATAAAGTAACTCGTTACTTTACTCGTTACTTTACTCGCCGAGCACGTACGAACTGCGCATGCGTGAGTGGCAATACCTTACCAGCAGGCGGCGGTAGTGTGTATTCGGCATTCAAAACAGGCAACAACCGGAAGACAGGGAAGAAGAACAGACTACGTGATATAAACAAACAACAAATTAGCTTCACCTTAGCATGTGTTCTTTGCAGGTGTTTGTTGAGGTTTGACGTGGTGTTTACAGCAGTGGATAACAGCTTCTGGCCTGGACACAGTTTGCACCTCACCGTCACATTCCTGTCTATTCTTCAGACGAACTCAAAATAATGGGCATACCTCCACCCCTCGAAAGTTATCGCTGACTCAGCCATGTTTATGCAGCACTGCACGCGGAGATGTGGACACGCAGATTACGTACATATAAACCTGCGGCGGAAACCCCTCTTGTCTGTCAGTGTGATTGTCAGACTGATTTTAATAAGTAACGAAGTAACGCGTGTCGGGGCAATGTTAGTAACTGTAGTGTGATTACTGAATTATAAAAGTAGTGCCTTACACTACTCCGTTACCGACACAAGTAATATTATTACATGAACGCGTTACTTTGTTACTTTGTAACGCGTTACACCCAACTCTGACTCCTAGTGGTTTTATGATGATACTGAAAACTGTATATTTCAACCTTAGTAGCTATAGTGCAGGCTCCAACACAATCCTCTGTATTTGTCTGGAACCATGTTCACTTACATTGTCCCTTTCAAATGAAATGGAAATAGTAAACAATAGTGGAAGCTAAGAACAACATTCGAAAGCTCAATATGAGGAATTTGAATTATATAAAGTGAAAGAATTTTGAATTGTTAACATGTTACTGTTATAAGTTTCACTTTATTATCCATCCTCAGGATCCTTTCTTAAGTTTCTGGCACCAGCAGCAGCAACGGAAAAGGATAAGGTGCCCCCTCCAAATGCTGATGATGGTAAGTTAAGTATTCCACTTTTAATTGATTATACTGTGCATTGCACTCCAAAGATTCCTTGTAACATGATATTCCCTGTTTCTTTTTTGGTCATAGCAGTTCAGTCAACATCTACCTCCAGTGTGGCGTCAATATCTACCTTGAGTGGGGCGTCAACATCTGCCTCCAGTGGGGTGTCAACATCTGCCTCCAGTGAGGCGTCAATATCTACCTTGAGTGGGGCGTCAAAATCTGCCTCCGGGGCGTCAACATATGCCTCGAGTGGGGCGTAAACATCTGCCTCCAGTGGGACAGCAACATCTTCTCATCATGAAGATGACACATCAACCCCTACCTCCAGCAGCACTACCACTACTACAAAAGGTTTGATCACATCAGACGACCCTGCACAATGGTGAAATGTCCTAAATGAAAGTGAAAAGTGTGCACTAGTAACAAGAGGACCAATACAAGAAACATATATAGTCTTTCCGCAGAATACTGAAAAAACATCACGTAGATTAAAAAAGGAAAACTATTCTGGTTTTAATTGTTCTTTATATTTATATGTGTGATTTATTCGTTTTTGTATGTCTTTTATATTCATATTACTAACTAATAACTAAGTTTGAAAATAACATAAATGCGAAGTTGTTAAATAAAAAACTGTTTACATTTAGCAATTTTTTTGTTGGTGTCAGATTATTTATAACACAATAGCCGCGTTCACACCGCGTACTTTGCAGTACTTAGTGCCGGTGTTGCAGTATAAGTTGAGTCATGACAACTGGCGACATTCTGTTATTTTCGTCATAGGAATCCGGGGCGTGTACATTGAGGACCCATTGTTGACTTACCAGGAAAGAAACATCGTTTGTCGTTTACGTTCATCTTTTGCTATATCTGCCTTCCTAAGATCACTTTGCTGCACATTCAGTACTCGTATGTGAGGTTGTGGGTGAGAGGCCGATATCGTGACGCTTACAGGGAGGTATCGAACATTACAAAGTAGGTGACTGTGTGGATGCCTGTTCAAAACATTGCAAACTTCAATAAATCATTTAAATTATATATTTGTGTCCGACTTTCATTTGTTCATCGTTCTTAATGTGATGTATAGTAGCTTTGATAGCTGTCCATACCTTCAGACAGCCTAAAAGTAAAACACAAGTTGTTTATTCACAGCCCGAACGCTCATCGAGATGACTGGATCAGTCATGACAACTTGTGATCAGCTCCGATTAAATTGTGATATCAATTCTGTAGCTAACCTCCAGGGAGCACGTTTATTTTATGAAATACCTGTATCCCTCTCATCACAACAAGACTCTACACTGTGCAGGAAAAACAATTACATACATGAAAATAACCTTGATGCATGGGAATTAAACACACAAACTA